AAAGGCCGAGAAACCATCAGTACTGTCTCTTAACCAGCTATGAGACTAAGCAAATAACTAAGACAACTGTAAGGACAGCTATAAAAAAATAATTTATGTGACAGTATATGAAATCATCCGGTACAAGACTTTACACAGTAATTTTAAACTCCCAGTTAATGTTCATTTCCTTCTTCTCCTCCTTTCTTCCTCCTTTCCTTTCTATTTTTCTTTCATAAGATTTTTGAAATTAAAAAAGAAAAAATACAGAAATATGAATAAGAAAATGGTTAAAACAAACAAAAAAAAGAGCCAGGAGTGGTGGCTCACGCCTGTAATCCCAGCACTCAGGAGGCTGAGGCAGGAGGATCATTGTGAGTTCAAGACCAGTCTGGGCTACGAAGTGAGTTCAAGGCCAGCCTGAACTGCATATCGAGACCCTGTCTCAAAAAGACAAAAAAAAAAAAGAAATCCTCATACAAATATTTCTTCAAATTTTTCAGAATTGTAGTTTACATTCTGATTGATAAATTCACCCAAACTCCTCTCTAACAGAAAACTATACTACTCACCCTTAGAGCTATACATGCCCGAGTATAGTAATTCAGGTCTTATAGGTGTCATTTTTAAAGGGAAATATAGGTGCCATTTCATTGAGATGGAAGAAAACAAGAGAAAAAGAGGGGGGAAGATGGGAGAAATGGAAAAAAGAAGAACAGAGGGAAGGAAGGAAGGAAGGAAAGAAGGAAGGAAGGAAGGAAGAAAAGGAAGGAGAGAGGGAGGGAGGGAGGAAGGAAGGAAGGAAAAGGAAGAGAGGGAGGGAGGCAAGAAGAGGAAGGAAATGTCCATGAGGATTTTTGTGAGAGAAACCTGAAGAAATTACCAAAGCATGATGCATTTACAATTTTTAGATAAATACTAACTAATCTGAAAAGGAAACATAAGGCACCTATCTGATCTATCTGATCTAGGGTAGTTACTAAGAGAGAATGGCAGGCTACAGGTAGAAGCTAGTGAAAGAAAAACATGACTTCTAAAAGTTCGTCCCTTCAGGTTCACAGCAGCCCCAATTACCAGTCTCCAGTGACCAGAGCTATTTCCCAGCCTTGGCGCGGGACGCACATCCTCCCAAGGAATCTTCGTGGAGGGCTGCACATAGGGAAAGGCAACACGCACAGCCCTTTCTGAAGTTATAGTCCCTCTGTTGTTTTCAACCAGACAGAAGCTGTATACCAGTAAGCCTATTTTCCCTCATGTCCTTTAAAACCATAGCCAGAATTTTTAATTTCTACACTTACCCAGTATGCAATATTATCTAGTTCCATTTTCCTTGTAGAAGTCTATGGAAGGAAAAGCTTAAGGACAGGATAGTAAAAAGACACTTCCAATATTTTATAATAATAATGGTTAAGACTGGTATAGTGCTGTGTGCAGGAACTATTTCAGCTGTTTACCATGCATTATCTCCTGTATTGTCAGGACAGCCCCTAGAGACAGATGCTACAGTATTCCTATCGCCATTTTAAAGATGAGGAAACTAAAGCACATACTGACTGAAAAGAATTACCTTTCAAAGAGTTTTCAGTTCACGTGAGGTAAGTTGAAGGCTAATGTAAGAAACAGTGAAAACCCACTGCAGGTAAAGGAGGAAAACAGAACAATTTATGGCAAAATATAACGAACACTGATAAGAACTAGAATCATGGATAAGGTAAGTAGAACACATAGAAACTAAGGAAATATAACCCAAGGACAAAGGAATCACTTAAAGGACAGTGAATCCTTACTAACAACTCAAATAAGAATGGCCTTGAAGCACAAAATATGCTGAACCCAGACTAAGACAAATTTTTCTAGCGGCAAGTAAGATTCTGAGTTTCGGGTACTTGCCTGTATTTCTTATTTCTGTCTGTATATTAGAATCTGTCTTGTATTACAGATGTCACATATATTCTATAACAGCCACTACCAAATATTAAATTCCCTGATATAAATATGCATTTGTTTCATCTTTTAGGATAGAGAACACCTGGTATTGTTAGTTTTACCAAAGAACTGCTTTAAAAATAAACATTTGTTAAATAAAGATAATAACCAATAACTCAAAATATTCAGTATTTGTAGTACTGTTTCACAGTCACTGTTACTGAAAGTTTCATCATCCCAAGTTACTGAAATTATGAAATACTAAGGTGACATTGGGACACAACGCAGAGCAGAGAGTGAACTCAGGTCATCTGATTCCAAATACAAGTGATGAGGTGTGGAGGAAGGTAGTTACACTTAAAAAAAAAAAAAAAGCAAGACTCCCAGGTTTTCTGTGTGGTAAACCTTCCAAAGACTTCAATTCACACATCTACTTCACTCAAAGCTAAATTTTAAATAAGGTCAAGTTGGAAAGGAGCATGGAAAACTGAAAAGTTCACTTTGTAATGTGGTAAGAAAGTTGGTCTGATTCACTAAATAAAATTAGCTGAATGGTTCTTAAATTCAACACTGATAATATGATTGTTAGTCGCCCTCTGCTGGATTAATTTAAAAATTATTTTCCCTTGGAAAAAGATCTGAAACTGAAAATCAACTTTTTAAATACAGGTATTTTAAAAAGACTATTGTTTCGAGTTTACAGACTAAAAAAAAAAAAAATTTATAGCATTTTTAAATGGCACATTTCACTCCCTATCTCATAAACTCAAAAAAGTAAGAAACTCTGGGCCTATTAAACTATAACTTATTAATTCAATGAAAAACACTTTTTTAAATCACTAGTTTATTTTTATTTATTTATTTTTTGGGGGTTTTCTCCAGT